TCTGTGACAACTAAATTTAATATATGTAAAATGAAGCAGAGCTCACACTCGGCTCAGAAGCAGATGAAGATGCTTCCTGATCGCCTCTATGCAAAAAAGTTTCGATGTCCGCCAGTTCTTTATCCTAAACAAAAACAAAATTCCCCTATTAATTCCTTTACTTAAATTTTTCTATGAAATGAGCTTACCATTGGCTTATTTTCCAGATATTTTGGATGTTTATTTTTTAGGTGCTGCCTCAAATTCGTCGTGCCTCCTCCTGGTTTTAATATTTTCAAACAAATAGAGCATTGTGCCTCATGTTGCTATGCTTGGAAAACAAATTCCACACAAACGATTTCGACATGGTAAAAATAAAATATTCGAAACTTGAAGATGAAAAGAAAACGGCGTTGTTACTAGATTTATTTAGGTACTCCTAAAGTATAACTGGTCTTCAATGTCGTCATGGGAATTACTTAATTATTTAGATCGAAATTACATTTGATTTGTGTGAATCCCAAAAATTTGTGAATTTCAGTAGTCAGATGTAGAAAACAATAAACCAAAATTATTATACTACTGCTCAACAGAGAGCGCTGAAAGAATTCAGGTTCTATTGTCATTAAATATATTATGAGTAGAATATAATACACAATTATTGTTTTTAATTAAATAATGCAAATTTAATTTACCCTTTGAAAATATAATCCTCTAAAATACCCACCAATTTTCCTCTCCTCCCAAACCCAAAAAATTCACCAACCGTTTCAACTTATAAAAAATTTCCCAGACTCTTCAAATGGGATTTAAAAAAAAATAATATCAACATAAATATTTAACTTAAAAATAAATTGGATAATGCAATTCATCTTATATTTTTACTACCATCAAAAAAAAATTATCATGTATTAACACGTTTGTATATTTGTTTAATAGATATATTAACTCATTTATTACTTCCTGTATTGTTTTGAGAACGTAGGGAATTCCTTGGAGATTCGTATTCGTATTCGGTAATTTGATATTCACAGTCAGAATATTATTATTTTTGGTAATCAGAAAAAGTAATTCACCCACTTTCAATGTCAAGAGTCAAGTGTGAAAAATATATAATTTATTAGTACCAGATCACTTCTTATGTAAATATTACGATAACAAATACCTTTTCAATGAAATATTATAACAAAACTTAATTGTTTCTAGCCGATATGAGTTTGCACTTTCAGTTTGCTTCTGTATTTATAAAATAAAATTAAATTTGAATTTTAGTTTTGTTTGGAATAATTACTTGAGAATAATAATTATGATTGGAATCCAAAATAATACCTAATTAATACTAATAAACCTAATAACCGGTCTTTACTTTAAAAATAAAAAACCGGTTATAACCGGGACAAAAAACAACCGGTAAAACCGTTTATTGCGAAGTAAAAAAACCGGTTTTTAGGTTAAAACCGGTAGATTTTTCCTATCCCTCGCGGCTACATAACTACAAAATTAAATTTTATAAAATATTTTTATAGATTTCAAAAAATTTGCTACAGTAAGGTCTTATTTTATGAGGTGGATACGTTCCACTGAAAAGCGTTAAAAAGTAGGGATACTTGCCTTGAAAAGGTAAGAATACGTTCCATAGCCTTCTAAAATTATATAAAACCTAAACAAAATAAAAAAATTTGCAGAAATTAAAAGAAATAGGTTGCATGATAAATTACTTCAAATATCTGAAAAAATGCATACAAAAGCTTAAAAAACTTGTATTCAAAAGTAATTTTTTATGTAGCTCACGATATCCTTACATGCAGTTTTACAGCTCACGTTGTAATTTAAAGGCTCGTTCAGAGTTGGGGTTATTAATAATAAAATGATTTTCTAATTGACTGCAAAGTATAAGATCTTCATAAATTAATTTATCAGTAAAATAAGTTCGTTTTTCTTCTTCAATATTATCATCTTCTAGACTCACGATGCCATCTAAAGTTAGATGTAAATTTAGATCAAATATATCACGGTCACTTAATGCAGCATACACAAGCAATTCATTTATATCATTGTGAATGAAGGCATTATAACCATATCCACCAATTTCACCTGCCAAATTAATTATTTTATCTGATAGTTTCGATGTTTGAATGATTGCATTGCTTGTTACACATGCTGTATTTGTTCCGTATCCAGCTCTACATCCTGCTTGCTCGCAAGTTTAATAGAAGTCTAGTTTTGATGTCAACCTATTAGCTATTATCTTCATAAACAACTTATAAATGTGAGATAACAAGCTAATAGGCCTATAGTGTTGTAGCTCTGTTATATCTCCCTTTTTATGCATGACTACTATAACAGCTTTATTCCACTGAGATGGTGTAACCTCTATTGAAAGGCATAAGTTATATAATTGTGTCAATGCTTTCAATACTGTCTTTTCTCCTACTTTAACTGCCTCAATAACGATTTGGTCATCACCAGCTGCTTTATTGTTTTTCATTTGATTTAATGACTTTGAGACTTCTGCAATTGTTATTTCTGGGATATTCTCTGAACCCACATTCTAGACTTTTCTCAACTTGGTGCCGTCTTTCTTACTTCTTTATATAATTCTGTATAAAAGTCTTCAACTACCTTAATTATCTTTTCTTTATCTGTTACCACTTTTCCATTTCGATCTGCGAGCTTAACAATATTCTTCTTACATGTCTTCAGCACCTTTAAACTTTTATTCCCCTCGACAACCGTTGTAATCTTTTTTGCATTATATTGTCGTACGTCCTTTCTCACTGCTTTATTAAGTTGTTGTAGTACGCGTGCATTCGTATCGTTTTTGTTCTTAAGTTTTCTTTGTGTTTTCATAAGTCTTTTTGTCTCTTGACTGATTTTTTCCTCCTCATCTCTCCTAGGATTTGTATTGCACTTTTTCTCTGTGTTCCTAATAGTATTTATTATGGTATTGTACAAAAAGGCAGTACATATGTGGGAAATTATTAGTATTATTTCCATGTATGTGGACTGTATTATATAGGGCTGGTTCAATAAAATTAGGATAGGTAGTAAAAGGTATACAGACAGTAGCAAATTAAGTTTATAGAAAGTCTTACCAATATTTTTTCTGCTCCACACTCTCACGGTTGTTTCCGGTCTTCACTCGTGGTTATTCTTCACCCGTAAAATCTGTCCGATGCACCGGTTTCTGAACACGTGTTTCGCAAATATATCATAATATAGAGCACACTTTGTCTGCACACGATTTAATACAGTATTTTCGATATTTCTCGCGTAACTAAAGCGGGAAAGAGGTAATTACGATAGAAAAACAGCCAAGATAAATGCTGTTCTTCTTGATAAGCGAAGAGAGAGAGATAATGAAAGAGAGAGAACGTCTGGCTCTAGCGATGGCCAAACTAAGAGAGAGAACGTCTGGCTCTAGCGATGGCCAAACTAAGAGGGTGAGAATGGTCTGTCCTTAGCGACGGGCGACCATCAAGAGAGTGTCTTTCTTCTTTGCTATCTTAACTGTCTGTATTTCTAATGGAGAGGGGTAAAATGTAAGTAGGAAAGGTTATTAAGGGTGGGACTAAGAGAATGATTCTAAAATTGTGATAAAAGAATAGTTAATAATACAGCGAAAAAATAACATGATTTTTCGCATGTGAAAAAATTGAACAGGTATTATTTAAAGTTTCAACATTCATAACGTCTATATTTGTTGTCTCTAGACATCTCATAATTTCCTTTTCGAAGGACATGGTGTTTTTGATTGGATTTCATCTAATTGGGTGTGTTTTTGCTATCATTTTGTATTTTTGTTTTTGAATATTTAGCACGATCTTCGCTCTTACCAGTCTATGATCACTTCTCACTGAACAGCTATTAAAAACTGTTACATCATGGACCATGTCTTGTTGTTGGTTAAGACAAAATCAATTTCATTTTTGGTAACTTCATCTGAACTTGCCCAGGTCCATTTTCTTTGGGGACTTTTTTTGAAAAAGCTATTCATTGCAAAGAGGCCATTTCGTACCAAGAAACCCAAAAACATTTTGCCTCTTTCATTTCTTTGTCCGAATCCGTAGGGACCTATTGTAACTTTGGTCCCGTCCAGTTTACATCCCAACTTAGCATTAAACTCACCCATTACTAGGTTGTGTGTAGTAGGCGCCAGTTTTAATGCAGTTTCTAGGTCTTCATAAATAATATATTACCAATTACTGTTATATAATACCAATGTTTAAATACAGTTTGGCTTTGAAATTCCTAAACAATATTAAGAAGTAAAGGTATTTGAAAATTTGTTCATGACTTTTTTAAGGTTACCAATTTATTTATAAACTTAGGATGATAAATATTATGATAAATAGGGTTTATGTTAAAATAGTAAAAATATTTGTTTTGTGCAATTTGCATAAAATTACATAAAATACCCAATTTACTCATAAAAAAATCTGCAATAGTTACACAATTAACTACGTCAAATCGCTTACTGGAAACAATAGTGGCATATCTCAAATATTTTGCTGTTTTGAGTTTTAATACTTAAAATACCTATATTCTTTTGATTTTTCTAGAAATATGGTATTTTTACAGAAACGAGTTGTAATATTTTGTCAAATAAAAATCCCAATAAAATTATTTTTTATTTATTTATATTCTTCATCTTCGATTTGTTACTTATTTTTCTAATTGCTTTAAAGATAATATAAATGTCAATAATGGCACATTCTTAAAAATAAAGAAAAAAAATTTCTTTAATCAATTTTGAAAATCTCAATGTACTATTTTTAAACTACAAAACTTTTATTTTCTAGAAAATTCTAATTTATTAGATGTGCCATTATTGCATCCAGTGAGCGATATGTAAGTTCACTAAGAACCTGGAATGGAAATAATAAAACACTCAAAACAAATGTTTAGCATAAAAACAAGTACCAAATAGTTTTACCTTGCTGTGCCAAAATATTTAACGTAATTAATCTTAATATGTTTATATTAGTTTGTATAATTTATACAATATCGTTTTGTTTCAGGGTCTTCCAGTTAATCAAAATATGTCATCGGGTATTATAATCAGCACTCATAGTTTAGTTCTACAAAAAGTTACTAGATATCAGAGTGGTTCGTATACATGTCTGGCTGCGAATCCTAGAGGAGAAACAATGAGCGATCCTGTAAATTTAAGAGTTCGATGTAAGTATGGGAAACTCATAATGTACTTTATTTTAAAAAGAAAGTCCGCATGCCACGTAGGACTGATTATAGGATAGTATTAAACTGTATTTTGTAACAATTACGTACTATTAACACCTATTTAACAAATATTTATTTACAGTGTTTCCATTGTTTATTCTAAGTTTCGTTAAGTGGTTGTTTCAGTGCTTGGACTTTTAATTATATTATTTTTTAATCTCCTTGGCTTCTCACTTATATATTTCTATAGTTTTCTAAACTGGCCTAACTCAAAATGTAACACTACTCCGCACCACGCAAAAGTACTTCTCTCGTTTACAGCTTCAAAAAAACTGTCACAACACAAAAATATCAGTATTTTACCTATTCAAATAATCAAATTTAGTCACAATTCTAAATATGACTATTTTCAGCATTAAGCACTACGTGTAGACTGTTATAAAGTCAGAGGTGACAATGTAGCGGAATGCATGCTAAGCTAACCTGTAAAAATAACAAAAGTCTCACATCGCTATCTCGCGGTAAATAGTTCAAATATAAGAGTGACGCTTTTATGGAAGAAAGTTTTGAGATGTGAATCTTTTTTGGCGGAGGTGCGATATATATTTTAAGTAGATTTTTGTTTGTTATTGGATTTAGGGTAAATACCCACACAGCCAAACACATTTTTTTAAAAATAGATACAAGACAAAGGGAACACAGGGATTACACTCTTCTCACCCAGGGGCCGATCAGGGCACTTTTATAAACGATAAGAGGTAGGCTTCGGACACATAGATATACAAACATTAAGGAAAGACATCAGGTATCAACAAAGGTAGTTATATTTGTATATTCGTTGTTCTGACGAAAGACAGCAAATAATCGTAAATTTCTTTTCTGTCTAAAGCAAGAAGATGCAGTAATTTATATGGGCTTCCAATGTTTAATTTTAAAAGTTTTGCTGGAAAGCTCATTAGATTGGGCTCTACATTTTAAACAATAAAAAAAGATATGGTCCATGTCACCGATTTTATTACAGGCTTCACAAAGATCACTCTTAAGTATTTTTATTTTAAATAAATATGCTGTATAATATGCGTGACCAAACTTCATTCTGCTGATAGTAGTTAAATATTTTCTACTGTAATCGTACTCATTGTACCAAGGTTTTCTCCTTAATTTGGTTTCAAGTCTGGTGTAACGTGTTGGATCTTGCCATAAATAGGACCATTTCTTCATCATTTTCTGTTTTGCTATGATTATTTGTTCATCTGTGGTTAATTCGTAATTTATTTGTTCTTCCATTACTATGCTTTCTTTGGCAATTTGATTTGCAATTTCATTATTTGTTATTCCTGCATGTGCTTTGACCCAGAAGAATTTTATATATTTATTTTGATCTTGTAAATGTTGATTGGTTGTTCTGAGTTTGATTTTAAGATTTTAAGAACGGAAAATGAATCGGAAATGATTATAGCATGCTGATGCTCTTCCTGATGAACATATTCTAGTGCTTTTAGAATTTTTATTGCCTTAGCTGTGAAAATAGATGTGTTTTTGTTTAAGTTATATTTTTTCTGTATACGTTAAGGTATTACGAAAGCGCAACCTGTACCATCGGTGTTTTTTGATCCATCAGTGTATATAGTGACGTAGTTTGGATGTTACTCTAAAATTTGATTTATGACTATACTATTAAATTATGTTAACTCCGAATAAAGGGGTATATTCACATCACAGGAAACAAAGTGATCAAAGTAGTCGGTCCCTACCTTCGTTTGTGGTTTAAGGTCATGTTTCTTAATCCATCACAAATATGAGGCGAGTTAAGTAGAGTTTAAGATTAGCAATTAGTCAAAAAGTAAAATAAAATTAAATAAAATATCATAAAACAAAACAAAATATTCCAAAATGAAATAAAATAAATGGAACAGAATAAAATAGAATTAAATAGAATAAAATAAAATAAAATATAATAAAATAGAATAGAAAAAATAAAATAAAATAGAATAAAATAGAATAAAATACAATAAAATAGAATAAAATAGAATAAAATAGAATAAAATAGAATAAAATAGAATAAAATAGAATAAAATATAATAAAATAGAATAAAATAGAATAAAATAGAATAAAATAAAGTAAAATAAAATAAAATGGAATAAAGTAAATTAAAATTAAATTAAAATAAAGGAAATATTCTTAGCATTCTGCTGGTAAATACATTTTTCTAAATGACGTTGATATCTTGAGATAAATCCCATTTTTATTTCACCCATTCTTCATTCCCCAATTCTCATCTTTCATTTACCCATTAGCCCAAATATTTTTCGTAAATTCTTAGTTAAATTTTCGTTTTTACTGATGACTACTCATTTAGTTATATTTGTATTTATTTAATTTTAATCCTATTTGACTAGTATAGTCTGTTATAGCTAATAAAAGTTTATGTAAATTATCTTTATCAGTTCTTATCAAACTCCTCTCATAATAGAAATTTCTTCAGATGTCTTAACTTTAATTCTGTCATTTGTCTTATTTTAGTATAAACTAGTTAATATTCGAATGTCCTGCCCATCTAGATCCGTTTTGATATTATCGCCATCTTCGTATTTGTCATCTTGATATTTGTCAGTCCTTTTATGCCAAATCTAATTTAGCCGCTTTCATTCTCGACCTCAACTAATTAACAATCGTTCAGCAGTGATCTATTCTTTTTTGTTTCAGTTAGAAGACAAGTTATTGCCTTTTCCAAGATAATAATTTTTAAATGGTCATAGCAAAATCCCTTCCTGACTAAAAATTGGTAATTAAAAATAAAAAATACAGAAAAACTGATAATTTCGATTAGTTCTTTCTGTTACCTTATGTAAATCAAATAAATATTTATGTGAATTTGAAATAGACACTGATATAGCACATATTTAAGTAGCTACCCTGGTATTACACAATGCAAATACTCTATGAACATCACACAAACTTCAACAAATAAACCTGTGTGTTCGGTGAACATATTCGAAAATTATCAAACACAGTTTCATATATGAATTCGGAACGCATCCGCGTTGCGAAACAATTATGCATTTAATTGCATACCACACTTATTTCGTAGTCATGACAACGACTATGGCACGCCGGTACTAAAACACACACTTGCCACCTGCCTCCGACTTTTTCACTTCCGTCAATGGCCGCTTTGTGATGTCGAATGCAATAGCGTCATTAATGTGAAGTAATGAGTACCAAAGTCGCAGGTAACAAGTGCACGAGTAGCAGTTAGGCCCTAATTAAATTTTAATCAATTAAAAAAGAATTTTCAATTGTACGTTTTATTATTTCCACTTTTGTGGCTTTAGTCACCTGCATGAGTTTTTTGAAATATTAAATTAATTTATATTTTTTATGGTTGAATTTATATTATATATATATATATATACATATATATATAATATATATATATACATATATAATATATATATATATATATATATATATATATATATATATATATATATCACTTTAATTATATAAACATTACATAATAAACATTATATTTGTCTGCACTTTTTTCTGGTTTGCAATGGAATGAAAAAGAGATAATATATTTGATTCTAAAGCCACATGGCAAGTTTTTACTTTACTCCGTGGCGTTACAACCCTTCGTGGGTTTTAGCCGACTCGACAACATGCCTCCACTGTTTTCTGTCTTGAGCAACCTCCAACCAATTCTCCACGCCCATAGTGCTTAGGTCTCCTGCTATATTATCTCGCCACCGAAGTCGAGGGCGTCCGCGTGGTCTCCTTCCAGTTGGGACTTCCTCCCACACCAGTCTTACTGTTCGTTTGTCAGAATGTCTTCTGAGGTGTCCTGCCCATTGGAGTCTTCTGGACTTTATTTCTTTTATGATGTTGGCGTCTGGGTAAACTTCTTCAAGCTCTTTATTAGTTCTTATCCTATATTGTCCTGATGCTTCATCAAGCACCGGACCAAAGATCTTCCTTAGGATTTTTCTTTCCCAAACACGTAGTCTCTCTTCATTTGCCTTTGTTATCGTCCACGTTTCGCTTCCATACATCACAACGGGTCGTATGATTGTTTTATAGACCTGTATCTTCGTACGTCGTGTTAGTTGTTTTGATTTTATAAGGTTTTGGAGATCAAAAATACATCCGTTGCCGGCCTGAATCCTCTTGTTTATTTCTTGTGATCCGTTATTGTCTTCAGTTATTGTTGTTCAAGATACTTGAATTCTCTAACGCGCTCAAAGTTAAAGTCATCGATGGTAATGTTCTGACCGATTCTATCTCTGCTTTGGTTATTGCGGCTCATATACATATATTTTGTCTTGTTTTCGTTGATTTGGAGCCCCATCTTCTCGAAATCTTTCGAAATAAAACCAGTACAGCGGATCAAACCTTTTCTTTTCCTAACCCCGAAAATCTAAATGATTACTTTGTTAATGTGAGTAAAAATATAACCTCAACTATTTCGCCACATCAAGATCCAGTTTCCTATCTCTCTAATTCAAAAAACATTGCTGATACCTTCTTTTTAAGACCAGTTGATAAGACGGAACTCATTTCAACAATTCGTAGTATAAAAAGCACATCGTCCTGTAGTACAGATGGATTATCTATTAAAATTTTCTCAAATCTACCGCATAATGTTTTGGACGTCATGGTCTCGCTAGTAAATGATTCCCTTGAAAAAGGTACATTCCCTAACTGCCTAAAGACTGCCATCGTCATTCCTCTTCATAAAGGTGGAGAAAAATCTGATGCCTGCAACTATAGACCTATTGCCTTGTTACCAGCACTATCAAAAATTATTGAAAGACTTATAAAAGTTCGACTTATGCCCTTTCTTCTTAAATATAATATTTTATCGCAAAATCAGTTCGGCTTTTTGTCTAATAAATGCACTAGTGATGCCATATTTTCTGTGTTACATGATGTATATCTATCACTAAACAGTAACCTCTCCTCCGCCACCGTTTTCTGCTTTTGCTATTCCAAAGCC